AAAAGTTTGGTTTGCTGGGTAGGTAACCCCCCCGGAGCAGACGCACACTTGCCAGCCAGGAGAGCTGATGCGCTACCAAAGCGCTGGCCTACAGGAGCTGGACATACAATAATGCAGAGGACGTGCACTCAGAGTACAAACATGCTACGTAACGCGCTCTATTAAGGGGTGACCCTACAGCCACTCAAAGCCTGCATCTACCTGCCAGCACCATGAATGGTAAGAGAGTGGCCAGAGCTCAGCATGGGGCAAGCGCTGCCCGCTCTCCCACGGGTCCCGTACACCCAAACACGTTCCACCCACAGGGAAGCACCACAAACAGCAAACGTCCCCTTTCAGCATAAGTGTTGCACAACAGAATGTCATATCTTCCTGGAATAACTGCGCCCCCACCATACCTGTGGCAACTTAACACACTGAATAAATTAACTGCTTTAAAATTATAAACTCTTACTTCTAAAGTTGCACCCTAACACAACAGCAGCTTTAGATTAAGATGGGGAACAGAAGTTCTTCACTCCTATATTAATCCCATTTATTTATTTCAATTTATTCAGTTTCATCATGCCTCTAATAATTTTCTAATCTCTCTTCTGTAAGAACACAGTTTCCTGAAACCATTATTCTTGACGCTTTCTGTAGGGGTGAGGAATTGTTTTTCCCTCATGTTCATCTTTAAGGGGAAAAATCTGCCTGACGTGTTGGCGTGCAGCTTCATACCCAAACAGACATTTCAGAGACAGCAACATTCAAACAAATTTACAGCAAACAGAACTCGGTGATAAAATGGTACCACACTGTTAGAATAAACGTAACACTTTTCATCCATTAAAATGTTGTAGCATTTTTACTCTTTCCAAACCAACCTGCTACCCGAAGCGACAGCCAGAGCCCCCTGTGTGGCATGGCACGGCACGGCACAGCACAGCCGTGTTCCAGCCTGCTGGCGGGTAACGCTTAAACAACATTCCAGGGGTGCTGCTCAACAAAACACCTATCTTTGCTGTGTCAATGTTCAACATCAGCAGCAATCCAGCCACTTCTTTTTCAGCCATGCAACTTTTTTAAAGGACAAAAGCGACAGACTTCAAAAGTAATAAATCTGAAGCGAAGACTCAGTATTAAAGGTTCTCAAATATTTTAATATTCAACACTTCTAGCCTTTTTGAAAAATGTCAGACACTGAAACAAAGCAATTTTCCCCATCTGCCTTGAGTGCTTCACTTTGCGCTTCGCTTCCTTGGGTCAAGAGTTGAATTTCAATACTAATAAATAGCTACATAGTGAGAAAGTAATATTTAATCAAAAAGTGTGTTTATTGTACTTTATAAAAAAGAATAAATATGAATTCTTGTAGCATTTGCACATAACTAGTGTCTACCCAAAGTGCACGAAAGAACAAACTAAGACAATTATTGAGAATTGTGTACTGTCACATTTTGTCAGCATCTTGGGGGCACGTTCAAAGGCAAAAAGCAATTACCACCCACTGCAATTAACTCTGAAACCTCTCACCACCTCATGGCGTCCTCCAGACCATCCCCTCCAACGTTACCAGCACAACGAAGCAGTCTGTTAGCTTCTCGGCCTTTCTTGGAGATGCAAAGGCATTCCGGAGCAGTTTCCAAAGGAAAACAAACACCATCAAAATATTTTCATTCTGCTAATGTTGCACCAGCCTCCATCTCTATTTAATAAATGCTGTTCAGGCTCAACGCAGAAGTTATTTAAGGGAAGGAGAAAAGAAAACAAAGCCATAAATCTTCCTATGCACCTCTTCATCTGAAGATAATCTGAATATTTTTCTTTATTCTGCAACAATTTCTTAAATATTTTTCTTTTACTAAGTATGCATATTTATGCATTACACATGTACCAATAGACTAATTCAATAAATTAAAGTTCAAAACACTAACTGCAAGCACAATATTTACAAACAGCAATAAATTAAAGATTAAAATGTGTATGACATTAAATAAGAATCTTAAAGACCTCACTCATCAAGTAAGAACAATTGTCAACTTTTGTGGTAAAATGTTGCTGGCTTTTGTGTAGCTGCCCAATGCCTGAAACACGTTCACAGGCCAGTCAGGACAGAGCGATGCCACCCAGCTGGTCACTGCCCATCCACAGGGACCAAGTGTGGGGGCAGACCCAGGGATTTCAGCCCTTTGGAAGGAAGAGCTGCTCTGGCCGGGGCTGGGGCCGCAGCATCCCCTACACACCCCAAAAACCCCCGGCACACACTGCCTGCCAGAGCCTCCTATAGGAACTGGAACAGACACCGACACTCATCACTCTTAGTTGTACGGCATGCTTTGTGGGAGAAAAAAAACAAACAACTCCCCCTAAAGTTTTACTATAAGTTATTAAGAATAGTATTAATCCAGAAAATATAATTCAAAACAAAGACTCACTTTGATACGGTAGTTTGGCCATGGATGCAGAAATCAAAATTACCCATTTCCTCAGCACTGTATGGAGGGGAGGGTATTTCCAGGCATATTCTCCACAATAGGAGACGTGCTATAAGAGTACAGTTTTAGATCATAAAAGGGAAAATTCATTATGCTCTCATTTCATCTTTTGCCAAAGCAGAAAGCATCAGTGGGAGACGGAATTGTTTTTGAAGAAAAATCCCAAAGCTGAGTGATTGGGACAGCAATGATCATTGCTCTGACTATACATGCCTTTTTGAAAGCTGACATACTATTTTTTTTTTTTTTTTTAAATATGGAGATCACTTAAGGGGATTGATTGGAAGAGAATGCCAAGAACGGGATGGTACAATTTGCGCCAGCAGAAACCAGGCAGGAACAGCTGCTCTCCCAGGACTGGGGTTACACAGCCATCACAGTGACTGTAGAGAAAGCATCCCGCTGGAAAAGCATAAGCCATAGGAGACGAGGTAAGGGATGAAGCTTTTTAGGTACAGTGCCCGTCTTATCTATCCATGCTGCTCCTGCATATACACGTCTACAATTCTCTCAGCTGCAGATTCCAGACCACAGTATGACTGCTATTTGGCTCTGACCTGCAGATGCAATGGAAGAGCCTCTGCAAACTTCACTGCGCTTAAGTTTATCAAATAAAAATTTAAGAAAGATAAATAGGAAGCAGCGTAAATTAAGGCAGGTAGCCATTTACTAGAAGCATCCCTACTTGAAAAATTTAAACATCTGCTCAAAGGACTTCCCTATCTCAGGCTGAAGGATTATCAAACCCCACGAAACCCATGAAATGTTTCTGCTGACCGAAGAACTTCCAGAACTTCCAGCTACCTGCTGTCACTTTACAAATTGCAAGGCGCAAGAAATTTGCAAGTAAGAATATAAGAAACACATACAGCTAGGGTTTACATTTGGTTTAGTTAAATTGGATTATGGTAAAACTTCAGAGATACCAGAATCTTTTAGTAGCATTTTTCAAAAATTAGCTCAAATGTATGAACAAAACATGACTGATGTAGTAATTCAGTCTTTACCTGGAAAGGTGTTTCTTTGCAGGCAAGTAACAACCAAGGGTTTACCGAGTCTCTCCTGTAACCGCTCTACGCCCTTATTCCTAGGTAATTCCTTGTATTCCAGGCATTTGCAGCCCTGGTTTATACACACTCTAGACCACAGTAACTATTTCAGCTCTGACGCGAAGGTAATGACAGCAGTAAAAGTCTTTGCGCCAGCGCACAGGCATCAACAGTTTCATACTGGTGCTGCTGAGGAAGCTGTTCAACCTTGGCCTGCAAAGGGTAACACAGGATAATTCCTGCCTTTAGGCTACATCTCCATTCTTGGCACTCCCCTGACGCTGAAACGACTTATTTGCCATGCTCTGTTGGGCAGATGATCAGTAACTACCTGTAAAATTAAAAGGTGCTAAAAACATAAAATTCCTCTTGTAATCTAGTTTTCCAAAAGAATAAATACAACTCTCAGGTCCAGAAACTCTCCATCTGAAAACCAGCCCATCTGGGTAATCTCACTGTATCCTGAAGATACTTTAGCTTACAAAAATATACCACACTACCTACTCTTGAATGCACCACAGAACCGAGTCTGTTAGCAGACTCCTTAATAAAAGGCCTGACAAGTTTCACGAAGTTTTTGGCAAACTACAGTGAGGAGACGAGAGCTAAAAGCAGTAAAGGACAGGTCCAATGAGACCAGTCTGGAGTTGGCCAGCACCTTGCAACAGATTTTCAGAATTCTTGTGATACAGATAAAAACAGTGTAAGTTGGAAAGACTACTGAACTTGAAGAATGTCTGTGTGAACTAGTACTACACAGCTTACTTGTTTCTGCAGATGGAGGTGGCATTTTTTTTCCTTAATATTTTCATTCAAGTGAATGTAGTGATCAAGCTGCTTGCTACACTGCTGAAGTGAAAAACAAGTGCAGAAAAAGAATACAACTGTACCTTAACATTGCCCGACTTGATATTACATTTGTCCTGTTTTACCTCAAACCAGGACAAGTATCTCCTTCATTTATCTTGCCTGTTCAAGTCTCTTCTCACATTGCTAAAATAATAACCGGCTAAAATAATAGCACAGATCTCCGAACCCACAAAGCATTTCAAAAGTCAGCTTCTCGGGATGTTAAAGAGGTAACTGTAAGACTGAACTTGGATAAATGACTTCTAAGGACACACACAGCCCTGAAGTTTACAATGCACCCTATAAAACTAAAAGACACGCAGTACCCCTTACTATTTCCAAAACCTTGAAAGATTTTTTTAATCGCGCCTTCCCCTACTTCCCTACTTCCTGGTAAGATCTCCCCCGAAACTTGGTTACTTGGAGGAATTTAAGTTTTGGTAATGAGGGAGACAAGATTCTACTTATTTATTTTATTGACTTATTCAGAGGGTTCTGACTGAGCCCGGTGTCTTCACCAAGCAACAGATACTGGAATCTGGAGAATCTTCTATCTTCTTAAGAGGAGGATCTCTAATGAACATGTCTCTCCTCTCATAAATACTGAATTCGAGTTTTTAATGTGTGCATTTAATATGACAAAACAAATGTCACTAACTTGTACGGAACATAAAACACCTGGAGAGGCAGGTAGTTTACAGGAATTGGTTAACTCTATTGAGAGGGATTTAAAATCTTCAAGTTGACATGGATATTAGGCTAACCTCTGAACAACTGCAGTGCATTTCTTTCAATGATTATTTTTCATACCACATGTAAAGAGATTCAAAATATTAATTTTCCAATAAGCATACAAAAATAGTTTCTTACTCTCTTAACCAGTTTATGAAGTTCCTTTTGCAGCTTTCCAGTCAACATCCATCTAACTAAAATAAGTTAGTACAATCATTTGTATGGGCTGTCTGCACACTGGACAGGGTTTGTTCCTCTTCTTAAGTTTCCTTGCACATGTAAAACACGACATGAGGTGTCCCGTTTTGCCATGTACTATGCAGCCATTTTTAGGTCTGCTCTGACATATGACACAGGGCTCTATGCTGGTAACGGGCAGACTGGATTCCAGGCTTTCCTCTTTGTCTTGCATTTCTCTCTTCTCGGGTTCCTTATAGTCCTCCTGACTGCTGCAAAACATGCTGCTTGATGTCGATGGCTGAGAATAATCTTCACTTTCCTGGGACTCGGAAATTTGTACTGCTTTATCCTCATTCTCCTCCATGGCCGGTTCTTTATCTTCAGTGATTTTCACTTTCTTGCAGTCAGGAACATCAAAACCTTCTTCAGACTCTAGGGGGAAGGAAGTTTCTGACTTGCTCTTCTCCAATTTATCACTCTTTTCATCTGGAAGCCAGTCCTCACGAAGGGCCCAGCATCTGTGGCAATGTCGTGGTAGTGGAGGATTCATTTCGCTACATTCAGGACACTTCCAATAATCCTTTAGTGAATTAAAGGTTGGAACAGCTTAAGATAGTTGGAATGCTTACCACTGACGTATTCAGATTATAAACAGTTTATTACTGCCAAAATAATAGTTATCTTGAGCTATCAACTTGTTTACAATTTAAAAATTCCATTCAGTGTTTCACCCCACTTTATGGTTCTAGATTAAAATAGTTGGATTTTTAAAAGACTCTCTGACTTTCTTCTTGTAGTAGGTTTAGAAAACAAAAATAGAGGTAGAACAATAATTATTATTTCTCAGGCAAAACTGAAGAAACCAGACCACAAAAGTCTTCAGAGAACCTCATGAAAAACCTCTTTTCTGATAAAAAAAAAAAAGTTACCATTCCCATTATTTTCAACAATAGACTTCTGAAACGGAAACTATTCGGGACTGAAGGACATTTAACTTGTGGAATGGTAACCTGTTGGTGCGCAAAACGGCCGGGTGAGGGCACTCACACACAGCAGTATTACAAAGTAGACACCATCGGGCACGGGGGGGACAGGGTAGGGGCAGGGCAGCGGCATCACTGTCTCGGAGGTTACTCCATACGCTGAAAATAAGCCACTATCTCATTAATAATACACTTCATTTTTTAAGGAGAAAGACCCTTCTTAGAAATAATGCATGCCACAGGGAGAATAAAACCCCCAAACAAAACAAAACTTACTTAGAACATTCAAGGCACTTTGAGTCCTGAATAACATCAGTGACATCAAATGCTTAAAAGACCATTTTTAATTCCTAAAAATAACACACAGACGTATTTTTCCATATATAAGCAGTGCTACGTTTTTAGACGGTGGCAAGCCCTGTGTTCTACACACATAGTAAAGTCCCTCAGTCCTACAGACCATCAAGGGACTGGAACATTTCAGACAGTTTTTGACAACAGCTTTATTCAAGCTTCATCTGTGAAAAGCAAATATACATAAAAAGATACACTGCGTTTTAATTCTAGAGTGTGCGTTTTTCACATGCCTAAATAACTTTGCCTCAACCCCCTGAATTTATTCCCACACTTCAAGAATGGCGTCACAGAATTCAGAAAAAGCCTCAAATCATTTAATTTTACGGTACTGTTCTGAAAACAGGTTTGCATTCTCGTCTGTGTGCTACAGATTCCTTCATTCAGGTTGGACAATGAAACTAGACATTACGATTTACAGGAAAAGTTTTTTAAATATACATGACTAAGCTTATTTTTTCTTTGCATTTTGTGCAAAAAGTCAGATTTAGGCTCCAAACAATTTCCTTTCATTGAATCACTGAAACTGTAAGTTAGTGTGGGGTTTTCTTTAATGGATTAGGAAGCTTGCTATATATAGAAAGGTTTCTTAATAATCACATGTTCAATAATTAAAATATTGTCTTGGAATCTTCAAGCAAACAAGGAAAGTCAATTTAATTCTTAAAAAAAAGTTACTGGTAGCAATAAAATTGATCTGTACTCCTTGATCTACGCTGTCCGTTCACCCAACTTATAAAGCTCTGCCAGTCAAGTTGTTACTCACAGCTAGAGAAATCTCTGGATCTTCATCGAATGAATCAGCATCACTATCTTCATCCTGGTAAATAGTCAGCTGATATACCTGGTTTAAATTAAAAAAAAAAAAGTGATTGATGTAACTGGGTTTTGGCCTTTAATTAAAAATCTAATAATTTTTAATCTGACTGATTTTCAGATAGACTTTTAATCAAATGTAATAAGTAGCGCATATATGTTCATTTACGTTAGCAAGTAACTCCACAAAAATCTGACGACAGAGTTGGGGGAAAAGAATTCCGTTCCCATTTGTAACACACAGTTTGAAGAAAAATGTTGATTAGACAGGTAGAAGGTACCACTTTAGAAGGGAAGGAGGTGATCCTTCCCCTCCACTCAACACTGTTGAGGCCACACCTGGAGCACTGTGTCATGAGAGATATAGAGCTACTGGCAAGAGTACAGTGAAGGGCCACCAAGATTATGAAGAGACTTGAGGAGCTCTCAGATGAGGAAAGGCTGAGATAGCTGGGACTGCTCAGCCTGGAAAAGAGAAGGCTCAGGGGGACGGGGGGATGTGTGTCTTATGAATGTGCACACACACCTGAAGGGGGGGTGTAAAGAGGATGGAGCCAAGCTCTTTTCAGTGGTGTCCAGTGACAGGACAAGAGGCAACTGGCACAAATTAGAACACAGGAGGTTCTGTCTGAATGTCAGGAGACAGGTTTTGGTTTTTTTTTTACTGTGAGGGTGGACAAGCACTGGCACAGGTTGCCCTTGAGCAGCTGTGGAGCCTCCATCTTTTAAGATATTCAAAAGTCATCTGGACACAGTCCTGGGCAATCAGCTCTGCTTGAGCCAGGGGATGGCTACAAAGACCTCCAGAAACCCCTTCCAACCTCAACCATTCTGCAACTCTCAACACTGCTGTTGAGAGCCAGGGCACACCTCAATCCTTTCTTCCTCCAAATCACTGCGTTATCTCTGAGTGCAGCTCTGCAGCACTATAACCCAGTGTATATCAGTACAGTCAGTCCCATTCAGCCTCTCAACAATCAGTCATGCATGTCCCCGGCGAATTCTGCCTCTGGTACCTACCCAATCTTGCCATGAATTGATTCACCTCTTTGAAGTAACAGAAAACTAACTCAGAAAAAAATAATCTCCCACTTCATTCCTAACATTCCATATATCTAGATCTCTTGAAAATTATGGTAATCACAATTTTACTGTTCTCTTGCCTCCTAAAGAAAATTTCTAAAATTGAGTTTCAGCAACTCTATGAAACATTTATATTCATGGAGGCAAATGATTCAGAAATACCCCTTCGCAAAGAGGTACAGCAAGTTTTCATTCAGTATCAAGTGTAGTCAAAGCTCAAGACATACTCCTATAATTAAAAACATAGGAGTAGAGTCAAGTACACATGCTGCCATTGACTCCAAAAGCTAGTGAGGGAAGTTAAACAGACAAGACTTTTCCAGACTGTCGAGAGTCTGTTTCAGAACCTACGGAAAGCCTTAGCACTGTTCCGGTTACTGTCTGGTGGGTGTATGACGGTGACCCGGCAGCACAGAAACGTAATTTAACTTCACAAACAACTGTCACATAGCACATGCAGTCCTGAAATAAACCTGAAGAGTTACTTCTTGTTGGAATCTCAACATTAAATATTCCTGTAAGTTTCCTTCCCCCTTTCACCCCCAAGGGGAAAAAAAACCTCAAACAACAAAACAAATACGTACCTCATCATCTTCATCTGTGAGCTCCTGTCCTTCTTCATTATGGCTATAATCTTCTGAATAAATAGACTCAACTTCAAACTCTACACTGAACTGGTCTGAAACAGAACTGTGGTCAAACCAATCAGAGTTTTCACTTAATGAACTGGCATCAAGATCCTGAAAAAAGAGAAAGTACACAATGAAACTCACTAGTTCATATCCATATCCATTACTGTTAAGATAGCTCATAAGATAAAACTGAACTACTTAATTAGCTATGGAAGAAATGAGACCAGTTGCTGTTAGAATATATTTTATGAAACAAATGAGTTCTAGATGGGTAAAAATGAAGCTAGATCTGAAAGCCTTTTGACAGCTCTGTAACAGAGCCTGCAGTCAACCTACAGCCAGCTTGAAGACTGCCAATACTGTTTCAGACTCTCTAAAAAGTGAAAGAACAGCTGCAAGAAGATGCTGTCTTTCAGCTGCATGTCATTAAATTTTCTATTCTCATCAACTTTTTTTAACTGTAATTTGAGACAATGACTAAACAATTATTAAACAGCAAGAGTTACAGCATTAGTTCTGTCAATTCAAAATACAGTCTATGACTAGGAATACTGTTAGTTCAGCTCTTCATGACTTAACCTAACCACAGATAATTTGCCTCAGTGTTTGATTAAAACAACAATAGAAAACAGTAAAGGTTTGGAAAATGCATGTTATCATCAGGGCACTACTATGTACAGTTACTGAAGCTGTACTGGAACTACCAAGATGCCCAGAAGCACCAACTATTCTGCATTATGGAACATCTGTGACTGCTTTTCTTCTCCTAGCACTCTAAGAAATACTTATTTTAAAGCACAAAATATATCTGGCATTTTTTCAATGCCGTGCCAAGCAGTAAGAATCTGTTTTTTAAAGAATACTCTGAGTTACTATTTTAAAAAATTTCACTTCTGCTTTGTCAGATCTATGAAAGACTCCACTTGACCCACACACCAACTTTTTTTTTTTTTTTTTCAGCCCTTGTGTTTCCTCAGACACCACTGAAGGCACTGCTGCTTTTAATTAAGAACATAATGTTTTAAGACACATATTTGCACTTGTGGCATCTGCAAACTTTGTACCACAAAAATATATATTTTTACTTACAGGAATGGAAAGAGAATCTGTTGAATCGCTGCTATTACTTCTTTCACGGCACAGACCACTGACTACACACCATGAGAGACTTTCATCAAACGTCAAAGAAATGCTGTCTGACTTGTGTCGTTTTCTTCTGTCACTATGCAGATCATCTGAAGAATTTTCTTCTGGGCACATTCAAGAATTTTTATTACTCCAAAAACATCTATGCAATGTGCAGTTTTGAATATTCTTAACAGAAGCTAAAAATGTAATTTCCTTATATAGGTATTTAAGAAAAATGTAATTCAGTATTATTTTATGGGGGAAAAAAAGTAAAGGCACCAAAAACTTTTTTTAAAAAGACACAGTAACACTGAGAAACGTTAAAGTGTGAAACACCCCTGAAACCAGTATGTCAGGGGCTAGCGTTCCCCCCTTGTCCCATCAGTATAGCTTGTAAACAGCTTGTAAATGGCAGTCTCCACATGCAGTAAATAAAATAAGTGCAAATTTGGAAGCATTTTTACTCCACTTCACACATGACACGTTAAACCCCTCAATTTTAAGGAATACAGTGCGGATTTTAATTGTCCTAGCTCCCTCTACAGTCAGTAGACAGAAAGGCACTTTCAGAGGGCTTCTTAGACGATCATAGAATTTGCGGGGAGACAGAGGAAATAGCTCCCGTGTCACACGCACACGAAGGACCTCATGCTAGGCAAGACTAGTTCAGGTTCAAGTTTCAGATACCTCAACAAATTTATCAGTTAATAGTTGCACTATATGTAACTGTATTTACCCAATTGGATTTTTGTAACAAACCAGTATGACTTTCACCTCACACTAGCAAGAAAATCTTCAACGTATGCTATGTGAAAATTGAACTCTGAAAGCATTGCTTTAAGCTGTGCTTATTAAATATGCTTGATTTGAAGGCAAAAAGACAATGCTTTTTAAATACATCATGTTTTGAAACGACCACCTACAGGGGCGTAAGTAGGGGGACAGCATTTTAGGGGTAGGGAAGTCAAAATTCAGCTCCACTGACTTTTCAGGGTGTTTGGTAAGAAAAAAAAGTATCTTTTAAAAGGTGTTGCAAAGTCAGTATTTAAGTGCAGTGGAGTGAAAACTCCCCCAAGAAGCCTGACAACTCAGTTCAACAGACCTCAGTAAGAGCCTGCTGCCCCCCTACAGGTGCCTTTTGCATCCACCCTCTACTGCCCAGCTTCTCCCTTGCCTTGCAAAACACATCCTGATAATCCACGAGTCTTCAAGTCTTGAATCTTTCATTGTAAAAGGAAAGAGAACAAAACACTTGTACATACTTTGAGACTTCTCTTACTTTCCCTTGGTGCTTCTTGGCTCAGCCCCTCTCTTTTCTTTTTCCGCCCTGAGAGCCCCACCAAATTTGGTGCCCCCAGGCCCAAGGGTTGCTCCTGTCCATCGTTGTCCTCATTTAGTTGTCATGGCTCCATGCTGTACTGATACTGTATCACCACAAGGTTTCTATACACTATATCAGCGGCTCCAAAGGAGCCGCTACCATCCCAATTTAACAAGAATAGTGGTTTAAAAGGAAGATTTCCTATAAATTAGAAAAAAAGTGTATATAAAAACACTATATTAAAAGAACTTTTAAGGTTGCAACAAACTAATAAAGGGATGCAAAGACAGAGTTAATCATCAAACCCACAATAAGTAAGCACAACACAGGACCTTATGCACTCTGGGTCATGCCTAAATATTACAGGTTATGATGTTTAACTGAGACTTTCCATCCTTTCACCAGTTTTTGTTACAACATTAAAACGTTCTTTTAATTTAGTGCAAACCGCTCAGCAACGTAGCACAGTTTTTGAACTGACTAACATAACAGTGGCCTATGACGAACACAAAAAAAATACTACACAAAAGCTGAGGAACTGAAAAATGTTCCTGAGCAACTGAAGAACAGAAAGTTCTATGCAGCGACAAAAGGTTATCATCACTGCCCAGGTAATTACAACTGTCAAGTCATGAGGTAACAGAAGTAAGTGATGGAACAAACTAATGTAAGAAATTCCACAGAATAGGATTTAAGTAGAACTGTAGAGAACACTTCCATTGAGAAACGTAGAGTTATTCAGGTTTATGCTGGCCAGCTTGTTATTTGCTAATTATCAGAAGAAACAGTGCCTATTTTTAAAATTTATTTGCCAGTGATTATTCAATAACCACGGTAAATTGAAAGAGGAGACAAATATGATGCTTAAGTCACCAGACATTTGAGAAGTGCTTAATGAATGGTCAGGTACCTAAACATCTAAAATCATCTTGTGTTACTACCAGACCCTTCAACATTTGCCACCAACTAAAATCCAATGGAAACTGCTTTTAGAGAGCAAAAAAAATGTAAAACGTTGTGGCTGTCCACAGAGGAATCTGAACTGAATTTGACTACTACAGTCTATTACACACAAGAGTGCTCTGACAAAACAACTGATTACGTTCTGCTGATGTGAACAAGTTTAACAGTGCCGTGGAACAAGTCATTCCATCATCTTACTAACAGTTCTAAAGATCCAATCTGTAACACGACACTGGAGCAATGCAAGGAATTGTGTATTCTTCCAGACTGAACACTTTGTTTTAGATAAGCAGAGAAACATGAATAGTATTTGTCAGCATCTTTCAAAGTCAGTAAGGGAACAGAACGTACTTTTTTTCCTAAGTGGCTACGCTACTGAAAGCTCTGCATCATAAATCTGCACATACCAGATTCACTGTGTGTTCTCCTCCTAGAAGATGTAGTTGGTCGGGAAGTCACGTTTGATGATGTCTGCTTCTCTTCTAACTCTTGCATAGATTCCTGGTTAACAGAAATACTGAGTAAGCCTGAGCATGAACATGAGGTAAAACACTAGAATTAACTATATCATGCAAAACTAAACAGAATTTACATTTCAGAACATTCATAAAACAAGTAAGTATCACCTTTATAACATTTTCTTCTTCAAGGTGAAATCTGGCATCATCCTCAGGTGGGGCAGAGTCTGAAACCAACCCAAACAAAAAGTGGTAATACAGCACAGCAGAAAAAGTCAATTTCAGGCTCAAAAACATTACAGTAAACAAGGGAGAGAAGTTAACTAATTAATAAGCAGAACTTAATGACACACAGCATTTACAAAGTAAATTCTAAACCGAACTTAAAATCCAGGCATTTTGCAACAATGGAAAAAACAATCCTGTTCCTTTGCTTTTCAGGTGTGTGCAGCGCTTTCCCTGTAACATTACTGAAGTGGCAAAGTGCGGAGGAAGAAGAAATCTCAACCCCGAAATAGCTCAGTTTTATTATAAATGCCTTCAAATGAAGGCTCTGCATTAGCTGGAATTCTGCAAATATGAAAGAGTATAGGCAGAAATATTTTACACATCCTCCTCTCCAAATTATATTTTACTAGCTTATGGGAACACTGAATTAAAAAAAAACATTAATTGAAGAAAAAAAATTAACTGTTAATTATATATGCTTAGGACCACGACAGACCCTGAATTAATAAATTATCTTTCAAGAAAAGAATTTGAGAGCTAATTTAAGTTTGTAAGCATAACAATAAGGGATAATAAAGAGAACGTTTCCCCGTCTTCAGCGGCTGAACACTTGCCTTTAGGAAGAATCAGAAACAAAAGGTGTCTTAATATGGATTTAGAAGCCAATTCACAAAATGGCTTCCATTGTTTAAATTCTGGTTCACTCCCTGTATTAGTCAAAAATTACGGCTATATTGAGCATTTTCATACTGTCAAAGATTATTATATGTAACAGTTCTCCATTTATGGAGTGGCTATCAACAAAGTTACCACAAGGCTGCTTTTTGAAGTATACAGACCTTTTAAAAGAGGATACAGTGCAGCTGAGGGTGACCAGTTTTGTATGTACTCTGCGTTCAGTTTTGAAAATTATGACAGAACACTAACAGAAAGAATAAAAAGCATTTGCCCTGACTTCATTGCTGGCAAGCTCAAGAAGCTAATTTTTGATATTAAAACTTTTTATGTTGTTGAAGGCTTTAATCTGTAAGGGACAAGCAGCCGACTAATTTTTTGATTTAGTCTTCTTTCAGTTCAGCTCTGATTGTGCTTGTTCTGGTTCTAGTCTGAAAAAAATACCCAAATGCCATTCAGATTTTTTTTTTTCCTCCCCCAGAAGAAACAGCATTTGCTTTGGTTCACTATTTGTGATCGGTCTGCACGTGCAAAGCCAAATAGCTAATTATGGAAAGACTGATGTTATCTGATCACTACATGCAAGACACATTAGTGTAAGTTA